GACAAATAAGATTGACGAGTGAATGTGATTGTGAAGAGATTGAGAGAGTGAAAGTGGTGTGTAAATAGGTGCAAAGTGTAAATGAGAGTGAGTATGAACAATAAGGTGAGAAGGAAAAATGAATAAAATCAAGAAACAAATAAAAAATTCAAGAATGAAGAACAAAATTCTAGAATAAAAGAAAATGCAAGAATTTAAAGATGTTGATTCAATTATAGATATGGGTAATCTAAAATTGAACCCACTTCTTAGAAAATGGTGATTCCCTAGAGGGTTCTAGCCTAAAGGCGAATCAAACAAAATAAAAATAAACAAAAAGAAAAACTAAACCCAAGAGGGTTCTAGCCTCAAGGTGAATAGTGTAAGAAATTAAAATCTAACTACAAAATAAATTGTAAAATCTAAACTACAAAATAAAATTGCAAGAATTAAATGCAAGAAAGTAAATCTATTCTATAAGCATGAAATAAATCTAAGGCAAGAGGGTTCTAGCCTCTTGGCTATTTAACAAGAAAATAAAATCTAAACTACAAGCATAGAAATAAATCTACACTAATAAGCAATAAAAAAGAAATAAAAGAGAAAAAGAAAAGAAATGCAAACCTTCAAATAATTCTCCATCTTCATCTTCATCTTCATCATCCAACAAAGAGAAGAAGAGAAAAATTTAAAGTGGTGAAAAAATTATTATTATTAATTGCAACAAAAAGTTACAATTTTGGAAGGCCTTCTCAATTAAGAGTAGCCCTCCTCTCCAAAAGGAGTTACAAAAATTTTCACACCTCTAACCCCTCACTCTCTACCCCTATTTATAGTAATCTTCAATGAATATGAGCCATTGGATTTGTCTTGAGCCCCAAGCAACAATCTCCACCATTGAATTTGCTTTTTGTTCTTCTCTAGCCCAAATATAGGAGGCCCATATGATTTATTTGATTTTCAACATTAAAATCTGCAGCCCAGTCCATTGATTGAAGAAAATTAAAACTGCAGATTAACCTGCAATTAAAAGATAAAAATAATTATTAGTGGTATATTTATTCATATAAAATAGATAATGAGGGTATAAAATTGTAATAAAATGTGATTATCAAATACCCCCACACCTAAACTTTTGCTAGTCCTCTAGCAAAGAAAATAAAAAGAAAATCCTAACTCACTTTCGCAGGAATCGCGGTTGTATTTAGCGCATACAACAAGCCTTTAAACCCCTAGGTTACCCTAGTGGACGAGTTATAGTCTCGTGAGGGTTTGCAGTGAATATACCCACAAAATTCGGTCAACTTGCAAAATTAAAGAAGTCAGTAAATAAATAAAAAATTCACTTGATAACTTTTAGATAATCTAATTGGAGCCAGTTATCACTCAAGAAAACATTTTTATATATAACTCTAAGGTATATTTTTAAGAAAATCTTCTCATTGTAGCAATACAAAACCAAGCCAAACTTAGAAATTTAATTTAAAAGTTTTGAAAAGAACATGCTAACTCTTTTTTTTAAATAATTTTCAAGTTGCTTGATTTAAAATATTTTCCAAGGCCATATATACAACTATAAAACATTTATTAGTTTTTTTATTTTTTTATTTATTATTATTTTTTAACTCTTTCATCCTTGGTGATTTTTTTCTACTTTAACGGGCTTTCTAAGTGACCTTTTAACGAGTTTTGGGCCAATGGATCCCAACCCAAATGGGCTTAGGTCATTAAGTATGGAAATACTCCTTGGGCTTAATTACTCGGTCAGCTTAGACTTTATAAGATAGAATCACCTTGAATTCAAGAGTTTTTTTTTCTTCTTTTCTTTTGGTGCCCATTTTTCGCACTCTTCTTTTGCAAATATTTTTTTTTGTTTGTGTATATTTTTTTTTTTGTATATGTATTTGAAAAATATGTAAATCAAGACATTTTGAAAAATTATTTTCAACTTTAAGCTAAGCATGCAAAAATTTCATTATTTTAAATAAAAGTCCAAGTTAAGGCTTAAGTAAAGTATACTACTTTGAAAATCATTTCTTAAGAAATTTATTTAGAGTTATCATAAAAGATGAACTTAAGTAAATAACCAACTAGGGATTAGAAAATTTCAAATTTATCAAATAAATCAATTATTACATAACTCTATCAATTTGGCAAGTGACGATATTTTTATAAATTTTTTTTAGGAAAAGAAAAAAAAATGACAAAAATACACTAAAATTGTAAAATAAAGAGAAAAAAATAACTAATTCCCACCCCCATACCTAAATTTTTCATTATCCTCAATGCAAACTCTATGATGCATAAAGTAAAGCAGATAAGAAGTGAAGCACTTATATTTGGTTCGCTGATAAAAATCTGCAATTACCTTTGGTCTGAGGAGGAGGAAATCAAACATTTATTCTTTTATTGTTTTTTTTTTCTTTTTTTTTCTTTTTTTTCTTTTTTTTAACAACTGAACAAGAAACTCTTAAATGAGAGAAGAATAAATTCTTTTTATTATTCTGAAGTAAACAAAATAATCAATGTAGAATGAAATATTCAACATGAAGAGTTCATGTTCTACATTGAATCCTACCTTATTGCTGAAAATTCTCCCACGAATTTTAAATAAATTCAACATGATATAATCAACAATGTGCTGAAATTCTAAGCATTCCGGGGTGTTCAATGATTTTTGTGGCAATGGAAGGTAGGTATTATTGGTGTCATGCATATTGGACTTAGATTCTTGATTTGTGAATGTTTGTTCTCTAACAACCAATTTTTCTTTAACAATTTTCTCAACCCCAAGATTCATGGTTGATGTGTAAAAATTTGGTTGTTGTTTATTTTCCAAAAATCTTAGTTCATCAAGAAAGAGTTTTTCAAAATTCAGTTCAAAGCAACAATTGTCCAACACAGTTTCTTTATTTTGACAAACCCGATCTGCTTCTCCTAATATTTTTAGCTCCTCACCGAAAATTTCCTCAAAACTTAGATCTGACTCTTCTTCTTCTTCCCTCGGTCTTTCCTGAATTGAATTATCAGGGGAAGAATGAATTGGAACAAGAATTTGGCTTAAAGGTGTTCTTTCCTGATTATCGACATGTTTTCCTGACTGTAGTGCATTCATTTGAGTGTCCTTAGGATTGACCATGGGTTGACTTAGAATTCTCCTTCCTCTACTTCACTTATGGCACTAGCTAGTTGATCAATATGGGTTTCTAATCTAGCTAGGGCTTGAGTGTTAGAGTTAAGTATGAGTTCGGTTGATTGCATAAAGGAGTTCATCGTGTAGGATGTTTGAGTTAACATATCCGTGGCTAGTGTGGAGGCCTTAATAATGATTTCAAAACCTTTTTCCAAAAAATTGAGACGTTCATCATGATCTGTATCAAGAGGAGTGTGAGTTACAACTTGATGATGAGGAGACTGATTTTGATGTGACAGATTGGGTTGTTGAAATTGTGGATGAGAATTGAAAGGAACTGTGTTTTCCCTAGGAAAATGTTGGGTCAAAGAGGGAGTGAAGTTTTGAGTTTCGGAGTGGTTTCCCTGATTCCATGCAATGTTTGTGTAACTTGCCCAACCTGGGTTGTAGGTTGAAAAAAATGGATCATTTACCGAATACTGATATGGACTCTCTACAAACTCCCGGACTTCATTGGAAATTTCAATCCTATTGGGATAACATAAATTTTGAAAAACTTGTGGATTAGCCATTTGTTCAAAATGAATTTGTTGATGTGTATTGTCCCTAATCCACGTTTTGCATGCACCAAAAACAATTACTTTTTATATAATTTTTTTTTGTTTTGGAAAAATAAAAGTTAGTTTTTTTTGAAGAAAAAGGAAAAACAAATAAAAAACAATCACTTTTCAATCATGCTAACTCTAGGGTTAAGCCTAACTCAGCTAGACCAGCTCCTAACCAAAAACTTGAGCTCGAATCCTTAGGGGCCAACGTCTAATGAGTTTTTATTAGGCTTGGGTGGTGTAGTGAGGAATTAGTGATTTTTGGGCTAAGGAAAGGGTGATGAAATCCCTCACCTTATCTTGATTATGGGGTTTTGTCCTTAAAAATATTTTTAAGTATTTGTCAAATCAAGATGCTCAAATCACTTGGTGAATTCCTACACTATATGAAATGCAACCCTATGAATTAAAAGCAACTAAAAAGGATGGAAGAAAAAAAAATCTTTTTCTTTTTTTTTAATTAGGGTTAACAATCAAACAAATGAGAAGGGGGGATTTGTTTGAATTTATTATCTTGTTAGTAAATGTCAAAGTTAAGGGTGAATTTTATTATGGTCAACGGAAATAAAATCTTTTTTTTTTAAGATCCTATTTGTCACTAATTGTGAGAAACTAACTAAAAGTATGGAATTGAAAATATAAGGAAGAAGACTTACCACAAGCGAATATCAAATTCCTCAATCTCCAATTCTTGATCTTTAATCTCCAAGTAGTTCTTTCACAATCTATTCTTCTATACAAATGGGAGGATCAGAGAATCACTGTTCATAGCACAGTAAATTGAACAGTAATTCTCTCTCCTCTCATTCTCGCTGTTCTCACGCCTATATCCCGTATCAGCTCAAAACCCCTCTGTCCCTACCAGCCCAAAATTCAAAATTCAAAACACACCCCTCTTCGTCATAAATCCAGGCCCTCCCACGAGACAGCGATCTTTCCCTCTCTGAGATAAATCCAGGCCCTAATCTCTCTCCCATTCCGATGCCAACCCTAGACTCCATCTCCTCTTCTCCAAACCTTCTCATCGCCATTTGCCTCTCAAACTCCAATTCCCTCCCGATCTCCTCCTCCATCATTCTATTGTCAGCGATCTGTCTCGCAAGGATCTCCTCTCTCATCCGCCCCCGCCGGAGCTCCTCTATCAGGGCTTCCGCTCTTGACGTCATCACCGGCGGGGCGAAGCCGGAGCTCCAGATGCCGATTCCGGCTGAGATCGGGAACCAAATCAAACTTTGAAGGAAAAAAGAAATCTAAAATTAGGGTTTTTGTTGGGTACCTCGAAGAGCCTGATCAGTGAAGTACCAGTAGTGGAGGAGTAGCACAAGGTCATGGGCATCATGAACTCGGCTTGCTAAATACTACGTCCCTCTCGAATAATCAGAGAAGCACAAGGTCGAATACGAGGTCTAATCTCTTCCCCTTTGCATAAACCTAGACATTTTCTTTGATTTTTGTTTTAATATTTATCCTTTTTGTTTATCTCTTCCCCTTTGCATAAACCTAGACATTTTCTTTGATTTTTGTTTTAATATTTATCCTTTTTGTTTAATTTGTTAGGTTCATAGGTTGGTGGTCAACAGGGATCATAAGTTCACCAATTTTGCTGAGGTATGTTGCCAAAAGATCGAATCTTTTTCTTGAATTGTTAGGTTTAAGTAAAATTGTTCAATTGTAGATGGTGAGTATAAGTTGACACTTCAGATGTGATTCTTTTTTCATCAAAATTTAAAGGAGAACACTTTTAGAATCATTTTTTTTTCTAACTGTGCTATGATCAGGAGTGTGAAATCAAATTTATAGACAAATTTCGTGGAGTTTGTTCTTTGAGGATGGTTTACGGGAGAAGGAAAAAAAATACCATCTAAAAAAATTTGGTTTCATATGGGTAAGATGACATTGGATGCTATTTACATGCTAAAATAATGTATTGAAATTTCTAGAATCAAATATATTTTCATGTGGTTGTCATTGATTTAGGCCAAAAAATTGTTAGGTCCCTAAGAAACTAATTGGTGGATTAGAAAAGAAATAAGCTTCAAGTATTTACATTGATGTGGTTAAGGACATATGTCAGACTAGAAACCATGGTTGAAAATTGCTAAGGGTAACTAAAATAAGAACATACCACATCTTAGACTTCACTGAGGATTACATTAGGTACTTTTACATATGACAGACATATGAGTTTATTAAACTTAAGATATCCAAGGTAAAAGTCTTTTGATGCATATTTTACGAATTTAGGATACTATAAAAGGGATAATTTAGTTGTAGAAAGGCGTTGAGGAGTTCTAGAATCTAAAGGGGACCAAATAGCAAGATAAAAAGATGTGATGCAACTTTATTAGCATGACCATGTGAAGAACTGATAATGTAGAGCATTACTGGCCTAGAAATCCTGGGAGTAACCATTTTCCTTTGCAAATCTAAATTTGGATCTGAGTAACAATTTTCATTAACATTGAATGGTTTTCATTTAAACTCTATGTGAATACAAATTTATTTTCATTAACTATTCTGCCTTCAATAAATGTATTCTCCTTCCAAATTCCCACCAACATACACTTTCATTTGAAGTCTCAAATAGAACTATTTTTGGTTAATCCCGTCCTTGAGAAGATCCTTTGCCTAATTTCTTCTTTTTCCATTGTCAATTTAAAGGTTAGTGCTAATCAAATACAGTTGATTGTTAATCCATGCTTTAGTTCTAATCAATGTCTTATCATGAGGCTAAATTGTGTTAATCAATGCTTGAATGTAGTCTATTCCTTGCTTTTTTCAAACTTCTCAATGCTTCGCACACAAAAAATCAGGTAAAAAATGGCACTGGCTCTAAATGTTAGCCTCTTTCTGTTATTTTCTATGGGCATTAAACAATTACATGTCAAAGCACTTCTGAAATTGACGTATAGTTCCATTTTTTCTACATTGTATAGTATACATATTGACATCCACTTACAGTTTCACTTAATTTTTATGGAGTTATAGGTTATGAAAGTTGATATAATTAGTTTCTGTACCTATATAAGCTATACGTTATGCAATTGTTTTCCCTAATTTTCATTTGTTATCGAGTGTTTGATATTTAATAATATTTCATCAAAGGATGCATTGCTTTCTGACATTTTTCCATTTTATATTTAGCTGACTTATTGCCTTTTTTTTGATCAATTGTAGGTTGAAGATTCCTTGATCCTAACAAAACTCATTTTATCCTCTCTCCCTCTTTAATCTCCTCTCAAGTCTATTGTTCTTCTTTATTATCAAATTGTTTTCTCTTATTTGCATTTGTTAACAACTATCTATATAACTGATAACTTATTCATTATACATGCAGGAATACTCACAGTGAGAATAACTTGCAGTTATTGACGGCATCTGTCTCTTTCTCTGATACTCAACCAAAAACAATAAAGGCTTCACAACCACCACTTTATGAAGTTGTATTGCATATTAACATTAGTGAGTTATCTATTTAATAAATGATAACACCATCTTCTGCAATTATAGGACTACTTTTTCATATGCAATGTGCAAATCATTAGAGTTGTGAAGGAACTATATTGGCGTTATGTTGGATGTCGAGATTGTGCAAAAAAAAAAAACAATCAACTTCAGGACAAGTCTATTGCAAATCATGTAATAGGGAAGTAGTGGCTCAAACCAGGTACACATTCATATGCATATTTCATAGTCATAATTACAAAGCACATGCAATATTATTTTCAATCATTACCAAGTTTATAATTACATAAATCAGGTACAAAGCTATAAAGTGAAATATAGTTCAGCAATTATGACGTTTCTACAATTTGTGTTCTTAAATCGAAAATTATACAATATAGTAATAGGTATCCATCACCTCAGATGCCTTTCATTGTATATTTGAATTTCAAATATTACTATCGTGCCTTCAATCAATGTATTCTCCCTCCAAATTCCCACCAACATACACTTTCATGTAATTTGGCTCAAATAGAATTATTTTTTTGAAATCCCGTCCTTCAGAAGATCATTTTCCTTATTTCTTCTTTTTTCATTGTCAATTTAAAGGTTAGTGCTAATCAAATACAATTGATTGTTAATCCATGCTTTAGTTCTAAGCGTGGTGTTTTATCATGAGCCTAAATTATGTTAATCAATGGTTTATTGCAATATATTCCTTGCTTTTTTCCAACTTCACAATGCTTCGCACACTACAAATCAGGTAAAAAATGGCACTGACTCTAAATCTTAGCCTCTTTCTGTTATTTTCTATGGACACTAAGCAATTACATATCAAAGCACTTCTGAAATTTTCTGAATGCAGAATTTTTTTTGCTCTCACAAGCTCAAAAAGCTAAGTATTATGAGTCTCAAAGACAAACTCACAATATTTTCAGGCATTTTTGAAATTATTTGGTACAATTTCATTGAGCCAGAAAATTGACGTATATTAAAGAAATTGTCTTATAGTTCAAATTTGTCTACATTGTACAGTATACATATTGACATCCACTTACAGTTTCACTTAATTTTTATGGAGTTATAGGTTATGAAAGTTGAGGAGAGCGGAGGTCGTTTCGAGGCTGAAATCAAAAGAGGAGTCTGCAGCTCCTTTGATTTCGTTCCTTCAGAATTCATCTTATGTTCAGGAGCACAAGGCTGATAAGCAATACAACATCCAGATGCTCAATGACCGGTTTAAGGTTCTTTTTTTATTTGCTATGGTTATATTGCTGAATTTATTTAATTTAAAATTGAACATAAATCTGCAGATTAGTTGTTATTTTGCTGTAGTGAATTAACTTTTGCAATGTCGTTCCCAATCTTTGATTGAATAGCTAACATTTATTTGGTCGTGCAAATTGGTCCAAACCAGATAGAAGCTTTATATCAGTATGCAAAGTTCTAATTTGAGTGTGGGAGCTACTCTGCTGCATCTGAATTTTTATATTAATATCGTGCGTTGTGCACTAACAGTGAAAGGAGCCTTAGTGTACTTTGGGGAAAACTTGCAGCTGAGATTTTAATGCAGAACTGGGATGAAGCTCTTGAGGAACTGAATCGTTTGAAAGAGATAATTGACTCAAAAGGTGATTCTTTATGTCCTTCCTTTCCCTCTTCACTGCATTAAAAGATAGGATTTGGTTATATGGATCAAAAAACAAGATGTTTCCATGAATCAAGAAGTCCATAATTATTAGGAGGTAAAACATTTGGACTTTCTGAAAATATAGTTACATTTCTAATATAGCAATAGAAAGTAAAGATATATTTCCATTATCATTAATAACTATCTGACATAATTTTACTATATATTAAGTTTCTTTGTTGTAGTTGGCACAAGATTTTTGACTCCATGACATATTCCAATTAAGATCTAGAGGTTGAAATTATAAGTGATTCCCTAACATGTTTTTATTCGTGGACTTGCTTCCATTTGCGAGGTGAATTAGGGGCTAGATATCTAAAGCTCCACTTTAGATATCTGTCTCCTCATCCATTTAATGTTTTCTAAAAATTTTGAAATTTGAATTTGGTTTTAATTTCAGGAAATTAAGGTTAACTTGATAATTGAAGACTATTCTATGCCTTGGATCAGTATGTCAATTATGGTTAACTTGATAATTGAAGACTATTTATGGTTTTTTAATCATATTTTGATATGGGTTTTGTTTTTTAATGGTGAATTAGGATTGCGTGGTCGAGTTTCAGGTCAGGACATATTTATTCTTGGAGGGCATCTTATGTTTATGCTCATGGTTTGTTCTCTACTCCCTTTTTCAAAGAAATATTTTTAGGTTTACTTTTTTTTGAATGTGTGCATTTATTTGTTTTTGAAATTCCCTCTATAATAATGAAAGCTCCTTTTTTCTTCAAGTTCATTTATATGAACAAACTATAATAATGTAACATTACAATACCTCTATGCAATATATTCATGTATATGGTTATTATATTGAATATTGAGGATTTTGACAAACTATAATAGTGTAACATTAAAATACCTCTATGCCTATATATTCATGTATATGGTTATTATATTGAATATTGAGGATTTTGACCAAATAGTGATGATTGTTTGATTTAGTGGTGAAGATATGGTGTTAAAGTGTGATGTTTATAAACAAAGAAATTTTATGTCATTTGGTGTTCTGTAATTTACCTCTTTTAAAAAAATTGTTTTTTTATATCTGTATAATTGGTTGGTGTTGTATTCTAAGTTGGTTGAGTAGATTTGTTAAGAACAGAGATGTAATATTTAGTGTTGTATAATGCACACCATGTGCTACATAACCTACAAATATAATGAGAATCATTGGGCGATCTTGGGATTCTACCTTCAAACGATAGGGTTTCTAATAGTCGAAGTATTTAACTTTTAACTAGAGAATAGTTAACATTTTGCGTTATTTTCTGAATTTTTCACTAAGTTGTTGAATTACTGCTATCACTCTGTATGGATCTCTATTTGACTAAATGTTGCTTTCTTATACTTTGCACCCTATATCTCTTGAATATAATGAATTGATGGCACTATCAGTAATAGCAATCTGATTGTGGTTTTATTCTTAAAAATTTATCTCAACTTTAGATTTCTGGAGATGTCATTACTCATTAGATGATTTGCTGAAAAATAATTTCCCCTTCAGGCTAATTGGACCAGAGATGCCATCTCGGAAGTTATTAGCTACAACTAATGAATTGACTGATGCAGAGAACTTACTCAGGTATTTAGTCATAGAATTTTTCTTAAGCCATTTTTCAATATAGTGTCTGTTTACTTATTCAGCTTTGTCATTGTCTATATGCGGCATGAAAAATTATTTGAAATACAAGCTATATCTAATTTTTGGTTTTGTTTACATTGAGATTCTGGCATAGCACCCTTTATATAATTTCATGACTAGAATATGAGCTTTTATAGTTATATTTTTGACATGAGATGAAATAAATAGGACCTAACTAAAGCACAAGCTCTTTTTCTATTGAGTTAAATCTCCATGAATTTTCATCAAGACCTTGAGCATTGTTTCTTATCAAAATTGGATTATCATGCCGTGTTAGCAAAATTGAAACACGAATTTCATCTTCAACGACTACTTGCTCAAGTATTGTGATCACTATCAGGTCAAACCTTTTTCTTACTGACCTCTTAGTGGTAATATACATTTCTCTTTTTTTCAATCGTTACATATTTCTAATCATGCAACTTGCAGTCGATGTTAGGATGATTACGTTTTTTTGTCAATTTTAGTTTAGAAGGCATCTTAAAGCTATATATTAGGATATCCAATGCTACAGTAAATTAAAATTTGGATCGTCCTCTAAATATAAAGAAGTAGATATGATTTCTAAATCAAATTTAAAACTTGGATCCTAAGCATAAAGGAATAGATATATGATTTCTAATTTTAAGCATACAATAATCATATTAAATATTTTAAAACTTAGAGAAAAATAAGTTCAAAATGTAATACTTAAATAAATAGCGAGCCGTGCTTTGCACGGGGTGCACACTAGTAAACACACAAGTTAAAGAACCAAAATAATTAAAACCTACTTAAGCACCTTCCCCGGCAACGGCGCCAAAAACTTGATGCGGCATAAACATGTACCAAAAAGGTTGCAAGTGCACAACCGTGTCAAGTTATAGTATAAAGATATCGATCCCACAAGGAAGATGTTTTTATAGGAGAAAATATAAAATCGGTTCTTATGTTGTGTATGTGACAAATAGGAGTGATGAGTGAATGTGATTGTGGAGAGATAGAGAGAGTGGAAGTGATAGTGTGTAAATCGGCACGAGATATAAGTGAGAGTGGATGTGACAAAGAATGAATATGATCAATAAGGCAAGAAGGAAAAGGAAAATAAAAATCAAGAATAAAGAAAATAAAATTCAAGAATAAAAGAAAATGCAAGAAATTAAAGATGGTGGATTCAATTATAGATATGGGTAATCTAAAATTGAACTCACTTCTTAGAAAATGGTGATTCCCTAGAGGGTTCTAGCCTAAAGGTGAATCAAACAAAATAAAAATAAACAAAAAGAAAAACTAAACCCAAGAGGGTTCTAGCCTCAAGGTGAATAGTATAAGAAATTAAAATCTAACTACAAAATAAATTATAAAATCTAAACTACAAAATAAAATTGCAAGAATTAAATGCAAAAAAGTAAAATCTATTCTATAAGCATGAAATAAATCTAAGGCAAGAGGGTTCTAGCCTCTTGGCTATTTAACAAGAAAATAAAATCTAAACTACAAGCATGAAAATAAATCTAAACTAATAAGCAATAAAAGAGAAAAAGAAAGAAATGCAAACCTTCAAATAATTCTCCATCTTCATCTTCATCTTCATCATCCAACAAAGAGAAGAAGAGAAAAATTTAAAGTGGTGAAAAAATTATTATTATTAATTACAACAAAAGTTACAATTTTGGAAGGCCTTCTCAATTAAGAGTAGCCCTCCTCTCCAAAAGGAGTTTACAAAATTTAATTTTCTCCGGCTTCTATAGGCTACTCGGCTTGATTCTGGGCTTTTGGATAATTTGGAAATTGATTTTCCAATGGGTTTCTTTGCTTTATTTCTTCATTTAATCAATGAGTTTCTGTTGAGAAATGAGAGTTTGAGATTTATTCTTCATTAACCTGCATTTAAAGATAAAAACAATTATTAGTG